AACAACTCACTTCAGTGTTACCCGCCCTTTGTGCAGGCCGCGCTTCTGTCGCATATCGCACGCCTTGTAGCCAACCCTTTGGGCCGCCGCCCGAGTTGATAAGTTATTCGGCCATCTCCTGTTGCGGCCGTCCAGGGCGCGGCTGCGCGGGGCGACCCCATCCTCCGGCGACGCGGGAGCACTCAATGGCCGCCGGCCATAATTTTGGCCATTCGCTCCACAAAGGCCTGCCGCCCGGATCGCCTTCGATTGCCTGAATGGAATCACGGAACCGGAGAACGCATTTGGTTAATAATGTCAACCGTATCTGTTGGCTTTGTAACGCGGCCAATCTTGGCCAACGAGGGGCGCTGCGCCAAGCCACCGCCGGCGGCGGCGGCGGCGGCTGCTCGTTGTTGACTCGCCGCCAGAGCTTCCACTTTAGATTGCGAGCGTGATTGGTAAATATTGGAAGGATCTCCCATCGGCTGGTCGTCGCCAGTAACGGGGGCGATGATTTACACCCAGCTGCAAAAACCAGATCGGCCGGCTCTGCTCGGGGTTCGCAGGCCGTAGGCGGGATGTGCTATCGGTGTGAGTGATCCCACAAACGGGCATCAACCCACCGCCAGCTTCCTAGCGGTAGATCTGTATCAAATTCGTTTAAAGCATTAGGCGTGGGGCCGAAGAGTGCTGGGTGGGTCATGCCCCATCCACTTTCAAAAAAAAATTAGCAGCAAAAATATGGTAACGAATGGAGAACATGACGCTAAAAAGGTGTTGGCCTTGCGTTTTGGGATTCCATCACTGTCCCTATTAAAGCCCCTTTGACTGTTCTGTGGTGGCTTGATAGAGGCAGGTCCAATCGTTAAAGCCGAGTCTTAACGTGCTTATGCATTTTTACGCCCAGTGTGGAGTGGAAAAGTGTTTGCTTGTCTTTGTCCTTAATTGCGCCTCGCGCATTGCCTGTGAACAAAATGCCTCCAACAAACGACCTGCTGCATGAAGTTTTGAACGCCCCATGCATAAAAGCGAGCACGTGTATGCTCAACTGTTTTGACTTCATCTATTTTCGAGGCTCACCGCGCCGCATTTTTAGACAGGCAACAGAGCCGTCAGACGACAAATTGAGTTAAATGAAAAATACGAGAAATTATGGACATGTTGCTTCAGATTTAGTTCTGAAACACAGCCACCAGAATGACAGGTAGCAGTCCGGTCGGGGGCCAAGGCGCACCATAAATTGCGGCCTTCGAGGTTATTGAAACCATAAATCACACATTTATGAGCGTACTGGCGCCTGTATATGTTCATGGCTGAAGTTTGCCGTCACAGCAGGCTGCAGTGGCGTGGCGCCGAGAGAGCATGGAACGACCAGTCATTAGTTTTGCCGACATTTGCACATGGATTTTATCGCACCTGCACGTGGCCGGAGGTGAATGTTGCACGAGCCGTGCGGCCCGCGCCGTGGTCGACCTGTAAACGGAGATTTCCCCATTGGGCGCCAAAAGAGGTCAACAGAGTGACAAGAAATTAAGCGCGCTGGACTTTGGCTCCCCAGACGGTAATATTGGCACCGGCTATTTGCACTTTTTCGAAATGAAAGCAGGGTTTCTTGCAATCGATATGTACGGGTTTGGTGAGACACATATACAGAATTACCGTCATGTCGATTTATTTGAAATCTAAGCACCACTATGGTCTGCAAGCTGCTTCGAGGAAAAAATCCCACCAGCATAAATCTTGTGGATTTGGCGCTTTTTGGCGCCGTAGATGGACATCTGCCGAAACTGGAAATTCTTCTTACGGTGCAATGGCGCTGCAAAGTTAATTTAAAGGGTCCTGAAAGCTTTGGCACGTAGCGTTGGCGCTGTATGTGGCAGCGCAGTTAAACGTGTTCTGACAAGAGCAGGCCATTCTTGCAATGGGATTTGTTCCGATGCAATCATCTTCAGATGGTCTAACGACCCGTCGGCATCGTTTCTCAGATGTTTGACAGATAAGCAAACCAGCAAAGAGAATACATAGAGTTTTCCATGATCGGAGCAGGTGCACAGCCTGAGAGCCTTCCAGAGAGGGCCCGATGTCTTTGACGGTCCCGTCCATGAGGCTGAGCTCCCTGCGACCACCCATGTTTTACTGTTTCTATTTTTGAATGATTTCAGCGGCCGCCTATATTCCACTGCTACCCATGCTCGTCTTGGTTCCGTACGGGCCTTCAAGTGATCTTTGTATTCTAGACTTGAAAAGGCACAATGGCGTAGCCAATAAGGGGTGTTATTGGATCCATGTCTTCCCCCTCCCCTTCCTGGAGGTCGCGGGGACCCTTAGCTAAATTTGGGCTATTTCAGACCCCCACCGGGCTTCTAAAACATAAAAACGGCTCTGAGCCATCAAAATAGGATGCTGAGGCAAAAAACTTCTCTCAGATAGATAAATCGTGACCCTATTTCTATTACATATTCATTCCACCGGAGGATATCTGAAGGGTTCTGGGCCTTAGGAGAGAGTTTTTCGAATGTCGAGGCTCTTGGAGAAAGGCGCTGGCCAAAAAAACAGAGCGACGAAATGATAAGAGATCTTTTGACTGAAGGACCCTTTGCGAACGCAGGAGGGCTCACATTCAAGGTCGAGACTCTGCAAGGGGCCCTGTTTTTAGGCCCAGAATTTCGCAAACAGGGCCTATTTAGACCCTAACAGAGGGTCCTTTCTGAGATAAGAATTTTAGGACAACCTCGGATTTCCCTCCCACCTCTGTTCAAAGCTGGCGGGGGGGGGGGGGGGGGCTGAAGCCCCCTTGAATAGGAAACTACATCCCTGCTTTTAAGCTAATGTCATAACAGCAAATGTGATACATGGGTGGTTGAAACGGTGCAGCACCCGTACTTTTATGGAAAGACAACTCTTATTGGACCAATTAAGAATCAATAAACTGTCGTAGCGGTTAGAATGCTCAAAATGAATACATCTGAAAGAAGGTCTGAGTCTGGAATGCACAAAGAGAGCACATTTGAAAGAACATCTGAGCCCGGAATGTCCAAAAAGAATATATAGAAGCTGCGGTCGCAGTTTTTTCCTCATGCAACTCCAACCTTAGGTTTTCTGAATGCGCTGAAAGTGTGCAGTCAACAGGATGGCGCAATAGACTGCGTAATGACATTGCAAGATGCATGGAGAAAATCGCCGCAGTGGCGCTCATATTGGACTTAGTACGTGTCTGCAAATGCAAAACAGCCATTTCTGACACATTTTGGCACGCGAAAAGACTAATCCGCTCCCTTTCAACACGCTCTTAGTGTCCTCTCTTTAATGCTGAAGTTTCGTGGGTGTGCGTGTGTTGTTTTAGGTGTACATATTTGCCCTAACAACATATATTCGGATGTTTTCCACATACGGCGCCACATGTGACTCTGAAGGCGCTGTGAGTGGACGATCAGCATAACGACGCATTTCGGCATGACTGGGCTGGGGCGAAGTAAACCATTTGGACAGCAGGGAGCGCAATGCATCTGAAGCGAACTGGCCGCCATGGACGCATGACATATGATAAACATGCGTCAACGCATGCAGCGATCCGCTCCGTCCCTCTGTGTGTGGAACACAATGGAAACTATACGCGATTAACTCATCAGTAACCCATGTCTAAAACAAAAGGACCGCCAATTAGCCTTGCGTGCGGTCAAACGTGCACGTCATCTTTCATCAAAGAGCGGGGTTCCATTCTGAGAATTGGAAGGAGGGGAGCGATCCGTGTCCGGCCGGCATCGACGTGATAGTGGCATACCGGAGGCCGCTTGGGGATGGGCAAGAGGTAGATAAAAGGGAGTTATGCCGTCTGGTCAGAGCCCATTCTGTCGCACAGTGCAGCACTTGACACGGCCTTACAGCATCCAGTGCTCATATAGACAAAGGCTGGGGCTTTCCCTCCAGGTTGCGCGACTCCACAACCTTTCCAGCAAAAGTCTGGTCCTCCTGATCAGCGTTTGTGTGGTAATCCCCCCGGCCTGGCTCAGTGATGTCGGTCGATATCGCCCAAACTCTGTGTGGAAATCCCCCGGCCTGCCTCAGTGTCGTCGGTCGATATCGCCCAAACTCTGTGTGGAAATCCCCGACCTGCCTCAGTGTCGTCGGTCGATATCGCCCTAACTCTGTGTGCTGTTGCCTTGGAACTATTGAAGCCCGGGATCTCGGGTCAATAATATCATTGTAATGAAGTATGAGGCCTGCTATAGCCTCCATGACCCCTTGCAATCTCCACATCTCTGATCAGAGCTTCCTCGGTGCCCCTGATCCCCTCCCCCGTTATCCTCGACTTGGGGAGCGGCTGCGAGTAACGCTCTGCGACGTCCTGGCCCCGGTGTTTTCGAAAGAGACGTGGCCCAGCGGCGGCGACCTTCCGTGACTTTCCCACTCTCCTCTCCGTCCCACCCCGTCTCCAGCCGATTCACACCGTCAGGGCGTGGCTGCGCCCCTGTCCCCGAGGACCGCGAGTTGCCCGGGCCTCTCCGCGCGCCGGAGCTGGCCAACGGCCGCCCAGCGCCTCCTCGCCCCCGCCGGCCAGCTCGTAAAAACGGCGCCAAACTCGGCCGGCGATTCCGCCGCCCGGCGACGCTGCGGGCTACGGTCACGTGACCGACGGCCGGCAGCGGCAGAAATGCGGCAGCGTCTCTGTCGCCTTTGACGGGGCTGTAGGCAGGACTTAGGGCCGGCTACTGCCGACGAAGCAGGAGCGCGTTGAGTGGCGACCTGGTGAAACGCAGGGCTGAGTTTGGCGCAGGCTGCACGAACTGCTTTAGGACGAAACGAGCGCAGGTCAAGATGAATCAACGACTGACCAAAAACAGCTTGAATCAAACACTTTGCGAAGTAAAAGTTACCATCAAAAATGACTGTAAAATTCATCAACGTGGAGAAAATCCTCATCAATCGCGTGAAGGCGGGTAAAACTTTATAATGCAATTAGCATTGGCCTTTTAGTCCTCGCAATTCGCCGCGCTGTCATTTCACAAAACACATCCGACGAAGATCAAGTCAGTTTATTCGTCCAGTTCACTCGCCAAGAAGGTGGCGCACGGAATAACATCTCCTTGGAAGCCATTGAAAATCTGTATAACACACATAAAGAAGTGTCTCTCACGGATGGGAACAAGAGCGAACACTCACAGTCCGTGTATCTCGCCCCAACGGGGTCCGTATCACTCGGCCGGCGGCCCGACGCCGTTCAGCGCTCGCCATCGCCCTTCGGCAGAACGTCGCACAGGAGGTCGTACAGCATCTTCACCTGGTCGACCTCGGTGAACCAGCGCGGCCGCAGCGAGCGCAGATGGGTCAGGTAGCTGACCGGACTGACGTCGCCGGAGGCGTGCAGCTGGCGTGAGAGGGTGTCGGCTGCCAGCAGCAGCGCCGCGCTCTGCTCCACGCCCCTGCAACAGGTCACTCGGGTCACACGCGCTCCACCGGTGCTTAAGAGGGAGAACGAGAGAGGAGGCGACACGGCCGTGAGATGTCAACCCCGTCGCGCGCACCGACAGCGCCAGAGCAGGCGGGTTCATGACCAGCGAGCACTCACCAACCAGGCGTGGTGTCACAGCGGCAATACGAACCCATTCATGAGCCCGAGACCGGCTGATTTTACTTGATTTCTCGAATGCCTTGATTTTATTAGATCGTTGATGAATAGGATCCGTCGTTCAGGTTAAGCTGTTTTTGGCCACCCGAAGCCCATAGATGCAAATTATAAGTGCCTAGTTTCGCACGTTCTTTTTATGAAACTAGGCCCTGGACCAGTTGCTTGCCAAGTAGACTGCATGCTACCCGGGGCCAACAGCGTGAGTTTCGTGACCGGACGGCGCCTGCGGCAGGTCAGGAAACGGTCAGGCTTCAGCCCGCTCGTGAATCACGTGCGGCCGTCTTCAGCTTACCTCGAACAGCCTGATTCAGCTCTCCCCGCCCCCCTGGTTACACGGACTTGCCTTGACTCACGCTCGAGCCTTTGGCGTGCTCCGACCACACGCTGCCGCGAAAGCCGCGGCAACGCACGCTATGCCTGCACGTGTGATTCAATATTTGTATCAGCCCCTGTTTGCCATGCCAATGTGGTAGCACTGTGACAACCCTCTGCTCCAACAATCTTCGCCCCCACCCGGTCGGTGTTCTAACTCTTCTCTAGCGACCGGGGTAACACCGCGTCCAAACGTCGTGGTATCTCTGCCTGGCCACTGTCACATCATCGTCCAGCCACAGTGGCAGCTTGATCCAGTCACTAAGACAGCCATGTCCAGCCACCTTGGCAGCTTTGTCCAGCCACTGAGACAGCCATGTCCAGCCATTTTGACAGCTTTGGCCAGCCACTGAGACAGCCATGTCCAGCCATTTTGACAGCTTTGGCCAGCCACTGAGACAGCCATGTCCAGCCATTTTGACAGCTTTGGCCAGCCGCTGCTGCGACATCGCTGTTCTGTCACGGTGACAGCTGTACTGGTCATCATGACAGCTTCCCCGCTCACCATGGCTGCTCTGCCCAGCAAATGTGACAGTTTTGTCCGGTCACTGTGGCACCTCTGTCCCTTCACTGTGACAGCTCTGTCCAGCCAATGTGACAGCTTTGTCCGGTCCCTGCGACAGCTGTCCAGCCAATGTGGCAGTCTTGTCACGTCATAATGACAGGTCTGTCCGCCCACTGTCACCGCTCTTTCGGGCCACTGTGATAGCTCTGCCCTGCCATCGTGACAGTTCTGCCCAGCTGTTGTGACAGCCCTGTCCGGCCGCGCTGACAGCTCTGTCCGGTCTCCACCAGATGGCATGCTGACCAATCCCACCGGTGATTGATCGCCGGTGTTAGCCCGTCATATCGCTGAGGCATTAGACACTGCCACCCAGACGACGTGAACGGGCGAGTCGCTGCTCTACGCCACCGGACTGATCGACTTCGGCATCGATTCGAGCAGGAGTGATGGTGGCGGCATGCATGAGGTATGCAGACCAGATAAAGCAGACGATGGGGAGGGAAAGGAGGAGCTGGTAAAGGAAGAGGCAGGAGAAGAGAGAGAGGAGAGAGAGAGAGAGAGAGAGAGAGAGAGAGAGAGAGAGAGAGAGAGAGAGAGAGAGAGAGAGAGAGAGAGAGAGAGAGAGAGGAGAAGAGAGGAGAGAGAGAGAGAGAGAGAGAGAGAGAGAGAGAGAGAGAGAGAGAGAAGAGAGAGAGAGGAGAGAGACGAGAGAGAGAGAGAGAGAGAGAGAGAGAGAGAGAGAGAGAGAGAGAGAGGAAGAGAGGGAGAAATGGGGATGAAATAGGACAGAGAGACAACCCGACACCACCGGTGCGTAGACTGTGACGGGTGCCTACGTGCAATCAGTTATACAAGAGCAATATCAAACAGGAGCTCTCGTGGAGTCTAAGGTATCTTGCATGCAGTAGCAGAATACGACGCAACGTTTTCCATCGAAAACAATGCCATTATGTTTCAAGAGGATGGCTCACATGATCTGAAGACATTCCAGCAACAAAAAAGTTTTGACAAACGGTATGGCAGCTTTCAAGCTGTTACCGACTCTGGGTCGACTGTAATGTCGTCATTAAGACCATTCGGCCGTCAGTTAATAGCCCCTGTGCCGTATCCCGAATCGCTTGGGTAGTTGATGAGCTTGTCGACTTCAACCTCTCCTTGGCGCACGTTACGCCTCGTGAAACATGGTAGAGCGCCGCCGCAGAATCCACCTTGCTACTTGTTGGCCTGTCTGTGCAGGCAACTTCATCAGTACGGATTTCTTAATCACATAACAGACCACGGTCACGTACGAAGGAACTGCACTGAGGGACGCGGCAATTAAAAGAAGCGACGTAACCTATATCCGACACTCAATTTGTCACCGGATTTCGTCCTCTGTTTTGAGACTTTCAGAAAGCGGATTAGTGACTTTTTCAAGACTTGCCGGGGTCTGAAGGCATAATGAGCTTGCTTAACTAAAATGGCGGTGCGCGAGGTGTGCACTGCCCCCGGTTCCCGCTCCAGTGATCAAAGGATGCATACCGCGCCTCCAGGTGTAACGCAGGCAAGCACACGCCGCTGGGGGGCGGCTGTGGTCGTGAGATCGATCGCGGCAGTGGTATGTGACGCCAAAACGTAGGAGTGGCGGCATGTGCTCTTCCCACCTTCCGTTATCGAGCCGCTTACGGTGGGCAGCGCTTGTGTTGGGTAAAACGCGGTGTGGAATACACCACTGTCCTTTTACTTGTTGACATCTATGTCACACGTCACGTGTAAATTACGAGGACGTCATCCCAACCGTCGAGGGTTACTGCGCGGCCTTACATGACAAGGATCACTCCGTTCTGGGACGCAAGGAAATGCGTACGTTGTCCCGTATAATGCGTGAAATAAAAATAAATGAAATTGGATATATGTGACGTGGGATGGTATAAAGGCGAATTCGAATAACTCAAACTATTCATCTCATGAGCCAGTCAGCAAAGAACAATAAGGTGCCAGCCCAGACCATACGAGTTCGCAGACGTTGCGGACGATCAGAAGCTTTTCGAGGCACCTCCATGCCTAGGGAACAATATCACGGCCGATGCTTGAGGTCGCATAACCATCAGAAGCTTGCATCAGTCTCTTCCCTAGATGTGCCGTTGAACGACACTCTTTATGCCGTTTGGCGCAGCTGAGGCCAGTTAGGGGTGATGCCCGCGTATTCTATATAACGAATATCCGGATCATGCAGGCAGGGAGAGTGCTCTCTCTCTCTTCTCTCTCTCTCTCTCTCTCTCTCTCTCTCTCTCTCTCTCTCTCTCTCTCTCTCTCTCTGCTCTCTCTCTCTCACCCCCCCCTCTCTCTCTCTCTCTCTCTCTCTCTCTCCTCCTTCTCCTCCCTCTCTCTCTCTCTCTCTCCTCCTCGTCTCTCTCTCTCGTCTCTCCTCTCTCTCTCTCTCTCTTCCTGGGCCTGTCTGACAAACATCGCCTTAATCTCAGGGGCACAAACCAATGGTCTAGACTCTTTTGCACATGAATCTAGTTATGCTGACGCACCATCTCTCCGGATACTACGACCAGCTGACTAATTTTACCACAAGTAAGTAGAAATCCTTTTGAGTGGTACGGTGGGAGTGTCAAATTTAATCGTACGAAACCAATGCAGGAGTGAAGGAGTGAAAATTACTCACCAAAGCTGGGACTTATGATCAGTGAGACCCGTCGGGCAACAAAGGCATGCATTTTAAGTGCGATATGGAAGCAATGGTTATAAACGTGACAACCCAATGTTTTGCAACCAATTGTGCAGTGCTTTGTGCAAAATAACGCATATTGTCAGATTGACAGTTGCACCTCGCTCGTAAATGAATTGCTCGCCGTTGCAGGGGACTGTTGCATACGCCATAGCTCAAGAAGGGACGAACCAAGTTGGTGCCGTCCCGTAAGGCGTAACGAAACGTTCGTCCATTGGCCACTGGCATTTTCCGAAAGTTGTTTTTGTTATCGTGCAAGGCGCAGTCAAAGGTGATCATCGGGACGCCTCTTGGGCGAAAAGCGACTTAACCACTTGCATTCATTCGTGACATGCTTTAAAACGGCATATCACCTCGCCCGCAAAATTATCCTCGTCATCGATGAAAGTTAAGCCCACTCAACATGCCACAGCATACGCTCGCCAGTTAAAGGCAAACGTCAAAAAGGTACTCACGCTGAAAAGTTTCCAACAGGTACAAGATACCATCATTGCTTTAACCTATCGCCGCCTGATCTAATATAAAGCTAAAAAATTCCTCGACACGTGTGATTATACCGAGAATTTCAGCCTTCAACTGTGTATTGCACTTCCTCGCCACCTTTCGTGGAAAGGCCGATGCATTGAAATGGGGGAGGGAAAGAGGCACCTTTAAATGGCTGACAAGCTTTGAAAATCTGTGATGCTCAGAATGTGACCAAATCCTGGCGTCACATGATATGCTTCGCATCTGCACCGACCACATTGCTGGGTAGTGAACATATAAATTGTGGACGCAGTTTATAAAATATTCTACGGATCACAACACGGAGAGGTACAAATTGTTGCGTTTCAATCATGCTTATCTCTCCAGCTTATCCATCAGTGCATCTTGGCTTATCTATCAGTGTACGGACTATCCTTTTACGAATGACACTGTAATATGTTTTACATTGCACGCACCTTTTAATAGGTACGTAAGGGTCATAAACACACACTCGTCATTCAAATATGTCCTAGAGTTCCGGGAGAACGTCATGGTGACATGTCAAGGTTCAAATATAACGATTTCACGGTCACGGTAACAGTTCCCGACGCTACCCGCGAAATCCAAGGCACCACATTTTTTCAGAAAATGAGATTAAAGGTTAAAGTAGGTCAATATATGCACCCAGATGACCTTGAATTTTAAATCGAGCCGTGTTTCGGTCAGATACATGTATTCAGGTTTTCGATTCATCTTACATTTTATTTTACCCCCGCAAACAGTTCGCTAGGGCAAGTTGAAAATAGATTTCGTGACGTCATTTCGCATTTCAATTTTCCCTAGTTCCTTATTGGTACGTCATACCCCTCTAAAACTTGCAGAATCGTGCTTTCGGGTTAAGCTAAAGAGGCGTTATTCGTTAATTTTGAAGGGGGGGGGGGCATGCTATCCCCCGGTCGAATTGTCGTGGAACAACCCCACTGTTGGACGCTTTGCTGAAGTCGAGCGTCACTAGCGGCGCAACCTCACCTCCGATATTTTTCAAATCCAGTCGACAACGAGGAGCATATCGTACTCCGTCAAATGACACGGTCGACAGGCATATCAGAAAGGAAAAACCATGTCATTTTAGATGAGATAAAGCACACGTTGAACCGACATAAGTTTTTCAGCGACTTTTGAGAACACCAGCAAGTTCAAAATAGGCCGTCCCAGCATCCGACCATAGACCATTCGAGCGAACATCCGAGCGATCACCCAATTTGTGAACTGGCGCTACACGAGATATTTTCCAGGCCGTGGGAAAGACGAAGGTGATGATGGAGTGGCTGATGAGATGAAGAAAATTGGGACAGATGATAGGAAAGCACTCAAGTACAGCATGCAGACGCCGACCACACCAACCGCTCACGGGGAGCTGATCCGTCCGACAGCATTGATTGGGGTGCATTTGGCCTAACGGAAGATATCAGGTTCAGCTTGATGTGCTCCTCGTTGTAAACATCTCCATTATATTGATCACGCGTCTAGGAAAACGGGCTCGCCTGGTCCTCATGGGAAGTTGGCCGGGCGGATCATCGCTTTGCGGGGATATTAGCCTTCTGGTTGGAGACACAATAGCCTGGCATGTTACCATTTCTCCGGCACGAACGACACATTTCTGTTTCCCGCATATGTACGGCAACTGTGAAAACCATGCCGACATGCAAACTATTCATGCACGGATCTTAGAAAGAGCGAGTTTCCTTTTGCTACCCATGCGGGAGGTTTTCTTTAACTTCTATGGCTCAGGAGCCAATGCTTCCGCTTGCTTTTTTCGTATTTTTTTTCTCTGAGGAATATTCCAATCATGTGGAATGGATTGAATTTCTGGGATCTGAACTCACAAAAAGCAGCATCTGTTGCGTGACCTCTGACCCTTCTATCGTGGAATTCCAGGCCAACGGCAAAATTATGTGGGGCAAGTTTAAGATATTGAAATGCTCAATGCAATGCTAACCTTTCGTCCTAGCCTCTGACGTCATCTGACATTTAGAGCGGTCGCTGCCACTGACCGTAGGCTATCCCAGTCAGAGACAAATAGCAAACGCTTAAATCGACTCCAGCCCATCCCGACATGGGTGGATGAACTCAAATGCAGGCGCTGTAACTAACTGAGCTACCGGGACAGGCCCCGACAATATGTTTTTGTGCGCCGGAATCTACTTGATAACACACTTGGCCTACGGAAGCGTAGCCAAAGCCAAAAACACCTTAAACAACTGGTTGAGAAACCCTCACTATTTCGTTGCACCTTTTACCGAGACGTTCCTCCTTGACTGGCTCACTTTTGTACATGCTGTTCTTGTTCGCCATTGGAACCAGATAAGTCACCATCGCTGCTCGGAATGGTTTCATTGTATGTGGCAGTTCTTACCGACCTCAAACTTTAAAAAGAGGCCATGAAGGCAGATTTGACCTTTCAGGTTTTCTTTTCACATCTGCAATCAGTTTCACAATCTTGGTACCAGTCGAGCATGTCTATTTTGGAAGACGGCTTTGCAGTTATAGTTAACACCAATTTTTGCACCATCATGGTAGTTAATGCATTCTCCAAAAGATTTTTAGATAAATACGGCGTTTCAGATTTCGACGAATCGATCGTACGATCGATGATAGGAACTATCCCTTAGGCTGTTTGACAGCATGAGGGGTGACCACTCACGACCTACCGCTAGAAAACAATACTTTCTCTAGCTTCCTGTCTAGCAGCAGCAAACCAACCTTTCTCGCCAAACGAATTCCTGGATATAACAATAGATATCGCGTCCCCTGTTCCTCAGGAGGCGTCAAACGTTATTTAGCCGTGCTCGTGGTGGACTGCTAATGGTCAAGCTCTCCATAAAACCCCAGACTCTGACAGCTTCAGCTTCCGCCCAGCTGAATATGGCACACCGCCCGCCAGCCACCCCCGCCGCGGAGCCGCCCCATGCATTCCGACCTGCCATGTTGCAATTTCCAGACACATTCATCATGCATCGGCACGACATTGGCCATGCTCCCGGACTCGCGGGTAGCGACCGGCAGCTCGGATGGGCGGCGCGGAGCTCTCCCGGAGTTCTCGGGAGCCGCCGCGGGGCTCTCCCGGAGTTCTCGGGGGCCGCCGCGGGGCTCTCCCGGAGTTCTCGGGGGCCGCCGCGGAGCTCCCGCAGAGTTCCCAGATGGCCGCCGCAGAGCTCTCCCAGAGTTCTCGGGAGCCACCGCGGAGCTCTCACGGAGTTCTCGGGGGCCGCCGCGGAACTCCCCCGAGTTCTCAGGGAGCCACCGCGGAGCTCTCACGGAGTTCTCGGGGGCCGCCGCCGCCGTTTGATCTGTGAGCCGGCCGAAGCACGGCAGCGGTACGTTATGGGGCTGCGTCGAGCCTGGATGGCGAACGGGTAATACTATCAGTCTCAGTCAAGAGATCCTGGCCAATGCGCGGAAGAACTTCCATGGATTTGAATAAATCGATTGCAGTACCGCCGAGACACGGCATAACTTGGGTCTGGCATCATCTCCGACCGTTCAGTGAAAGTCCCGCTGGATGGCTGTGATCAGTTCCTGGTGGAATGTAAGCGTCCGCAATCATTGCCGGATTCGCGGGTTTGAATCTATAAATTCTTCCGAGTTCTCTCCCAAGATACTGAATCACAATTTGGCAGGAGGCGGGGAAATGGTCATGTAAACGGTTATATCGGAGCGGTGCATTGACAAGAGCCGTAGTGGCATGGCTTGCTTTTTATGTTGTCGCCATGACACTACGGTGTCATACCCAGAACCGTCCTGTTACTTTCGCAGCGATCCTCTCGACACGCGCGCTGGGCAGCGCCCCAAGGTGGGACCTACCCGAGGCGGCCTGAGCCCCCCCCCCCCCCCCAGTGCTCCACTGAGCCTCCCCAATGCATATGGAAAGAAGAATATTGGGCCAAGTAATACAGAACATTTGTCTTAAACTATTGGTGCTTAAGTAGAAGGTGCCTAAAAAACGTATCTACTAGTATCAGTTAACTTTTTACCAATTGTATTATTTTAGGGCAAACCCATTCTTTTGTCACGCTAACTCTTTCATCTGTTAAACTAGTCAGCAAATGTTTTGCAAGACTTTTCAATGACAACACCCAAATTGGAATTAAGAACGATAGACTGCAATATGCTGCAACGTTTAAAAGTACAGGGTGGCCTGGTTAAAAGTCAAATGCGTTTTCCCAACAGTGGCCAGTGTATCTGTACAGTGTAGAGTGTATTTGTCGTATAATCGTGGCTGTGGTTGAACAACACGATCAGCGACAGCGGTAAGCGACCAACGATTCCTCATTAAGATTAAGTAGGATAATTTTTCTTTTAATCATAACTCATTCTAAGCTATTCAGAAAAGGCAGCTCACAAAAACTTCAAATGGAAAGTGATTTCTTCGCATAATTTTTTTGAATCTACCAAATAACAATGTTTTAAAAACTTAAGCGTCGAAAACGCAAATTCGAGTGGCCAAAATCCGGATGAACCAGGTCTTGAGATAGGTTTGATCAACCTTTTCAGCTTAGCACCCACCGATTTTAAAAAGTGGGTACACCTGCGCCCCCACTCCATCCGACGCCGTCCCTGTGACCCTGTGGTGCCATGACTCAGTCTCATCTGCAGCGCCATGACTCTGACTCACCTTAGGGGTCAAAGCTGCACTCATCTGCACTGCCATGACTCCGTGTCACATGCAGTGCGATGAATCCATCTCCGTCGTATCCCTTGCCATGCTGTGATTGCGTCTTACCCTGCAGTGTTCGACTCCACCTCACTAGCAGTTTATGAACTTTCGTCTCGCCTACAGTGTCATGACCCCCCGTTCACCTACAGCGAGATCGCCGCGCTCACCTGGTTACGACAAGCACAGTGGTGTGCTTGTCGGCGGGTGCGCGCCGCTGTCGCCGAAGGTACTCCCTGGTGCTGGTCAGCGGGTCAGAGGCGTCCAGCCTGACGTACCGCACCGCCCGGCGGCCGCGGGCGCAGCGGCGGCCAGGCACGGCAATCTGGCGAGACACCGGCGCTGTCAGAGGACGTACTGGGGCAGCTGTTCTGGACTTACCAGCACCATGGCTCGGGTCGTAAGGGGACATCAGATCAGGACATGATGAAAGAATAGCACAGATCTAAACCGACACAGCGACACAGGACATACCTAGGCTACAACACGAGACGTATCGAGTCAATCGAGGAAACGACACAAGACATACATATTTAGATAATGACACGAGGCGTATCGAGATAACGATACAAGACCTACGGAGAAGCCACACTGGGCATGGCCAGATACACAAGCACATGGAGAAATAGATGCGGTTATTCCTAGATAGCGACGCAGGGCAGATCGAGACAAGCATTGCAAGGCATGCCGAGACGATGTCACATGGCACACCGAGACAGCGGCAGTGGGTACGCTGAGATAGCGCCACAGGGTACGCCAAGACAGCGTTACAGGGCATGTCGGAACAGCACCACAGAGTACGCCGAGACAGACGCCACCTGATACGCCGAGACAGCGGCAGCTGGTACTTCTAGACGACGCCAAACAATCAAGACAGCGGCAACAAGGCCCATGAAGGAAACAACCCTTGGTACGCCAAGACAGCGCCCACATGATACGCCGAGACAGCGGCAGCTAGTACTTCTAGACGACGCAAACCAATCAGACAGCGGCACAAGGCCCATGAAGGAAACGACCCTTGGTACGCCGAGACAGATACACATGATACGCCGAGACAGCGGGCAGCTGGTACTTCTAGACGACGCAAACCAATCAAGACAGCGGCACAAGGCCCATGAAGGAAACAAACCCTTGGTACGCCGAGACAGATACACATGGCATTCAAAGCAGGCGACAAAGAGCCCTTGAGGGAAACGGCCCGAGGCATACACGCCTAGTTTGACATATCATGCCTAGCAAAAAGTCAAGGATCGTTCTGCAACGGTGTCCATAATTATGGTACGCCACCGCGCACTGGTGCAGGGAAGCGATAAAAGATATCTCCATGCCGAGCTATGCGTAACGAGGAAATGCGTTCACGCTTGTAATCCACACCTTGCCGAGCCCCCAAGACGTCCAACATGTACGTCGCCCGGGCCGCCTCCCTCATTCGTTTGGTTACGTCTGCCACGCTGCGGGGGAGGCCCCTGGGCGTGTCGCGCAATTAGCGCGCATCACAACTTCCCACCTCGCCTGCGGCGGCCGGCGCCCGGGATCACACGGCGCCGGATCGGAGGCGTCGCCGGAGGCAGGGAGGTCTGTGCCCCGGGGCCGGCCGGCGGCGGCGGGCCGCCAGCTCGCGCGCCGGCCGGCCGCCGCCCGCACAGGAAGTGCAGAGCGACACAGGGATCGCTCACCGACCATCGGGAATGACTTGATTTTCTGCGCGATCGACGATCTGGGCGCTTTGATGTGGCGGGTGCGTTCTTCCGCGGTCTGAGCGGTGACAGCAGTGGGGCTGATGCTGACGCTGCTGGTGTCACGGTGTCAGGGGGTGATGACGTTTTGATTGATGATTGCATGTGTAGTTCAAAGTATGGAAATGTCAGCACCATGTGAAATGCCAATCAGAGATGCAGATGAGGTGAGGCAAGATGCCTTCCAGGTTTTTTTCGACTTGCACTGGCTCATGACCGGCCTGCTCCTGAGAGATCTTTTATTAAAAAATGCAATAGAAAATTATGCCATCTAGCTCCAGATATGCTGGACTGTGGTTCTGTCGTACCATGTTTGTCGAAGCAAAAGCTGGGTTTAGCCCCCGACACCTGACAGTTTCAAATGGCATATTCATGCGGGATCCAACGCCATCGTGGCCACTGTCCAGCCCAGCTGCCAGGTGAGGCACAGGTCTAGTGACGTTACTCTCACCAAATGAGTGCCGGTGCCCAGTTTCTGATGAAGAGCCGTGTGAGGTCACAACCACTACCAGAACTGGTGCGGTCGTCTGCAGACACCGACGCGGCCCAGAGGCGCCGTCAGTTTGCCAGTCAGCCAACTGTGACGTCACTGGTACTCCGTGCCGATGCCGGCCTGAACAGCGAGGCCCCGGTGCACTGCTTGTGTGCGACCATTCGCGCTTGGGCCTCATCTGTGGTATGCCACCGCTGTCAGGATCATCAGGGTCAAGTCAGATCACCGGCAGAAACAAATAGCGGCTGCGAGTCTCCTGCCAGCTCTTCGGTAGTTCTAGCAATGGTATCCTGAGAGGCGATTGGTCCTCCCTCTGTCAGTCTTTCCGTCTGAGTGGATAAGCCCAAGGCGCCACACCTTCTCCAAAACAAGGCAGCAGCTGAGCTTGGGGGCTGACATCGATCACTGTCGGAATGAGAGCCCTGTTCGAACCGGCTCGACAAGCACAAATTAACCAATGAAAAGACCATGACGCAACCAATTCTGCTTCCGATCAGTTCATTCCATGCGTAATAAAACTACGATAGGCCAATCTTTCTCCGACACAGGGCATGGAAGACTGTCTGAAATACTGAGCATCGCAGCGACATCCCAGAGGGACACCGCGGATGGATAGGTCCGGCTGTCATTGACGAACGTCTGCTGAAACCTATTCCGACCGCCGCAAAACGTGTCCACCCGTCTCAGAATTGCCAGGCGCCACGTCAGGGGCTCATTTCGGGCACGCCCTGTCTCGCGACACGCCCCTCGACGGCCACGCCCCCTCCCGCTGACAGGCCGGCAAGCCGCGTGGCGGGCGGCGTCGTTAGCATCATTCCCGAGCGGCGCCGATCCCAGCCATCGTTCAGAACGACGCGCCTAAGCCGGCTGGCCGCGACCGCCGCCCTCCATCCAGTGAGCGATGGTCGATAAAAACGCGATCAGCAGCGCGGCGGCCCGCGGCGCGCGGCGGAAGGAACTGGCCGCCAGCAGCCGATCTCAGCCGGACGGAGACGGACGGAGCGCGGTGCGGGGCTCACGACGATCCCCGACACTCTCGGGGGCCGGCGATGGATGGGGTGGGCGTGGCGCGGCAAAGGTCATGACGACTCCGCTCACCCATGGGGGTAGGATCGGGCTCAACAGATGGTGCGGGGAGATGGGTGGTAGATGGCGTTCTCGGGGAATGATGTCGGGCGTGACCTTCGCAGATCTAGAGTGCACTGGAGTTTTCATAGGCGCTCTTAAACATGCGCCCGACGTATGCACGCATATGAATAACTGTAGCATACATTTTAGTGGCCATTGACCGGTTAATTGGTGTTCGGAGCTCCACACACCTTTTCTTTGGACCCAAACTGCACACAAAATGGTCCGATGATGGTCCTGCCAAGAGTTTACCGGTAAATGGCTTGGGGAAGACTACAGATGGTTTTAATTGCAACCAAAGCGCACGTGAGTCAATCTAAAAACTTCGCATACATTTGCCAGCAAAGCTTATAATATAACGCACTGTAAACAGTGGGTGGAATCAAATCCAAATATTCCGACGTACGACCAAAATAGTCAACCTTCATTTTTATCGAAGCCCTAGAAGAGCAACAACACTGAGGGTCTGGGGTCGAGCTATCAAGTGGATCAAGTGGTGGGTTTCTTCGCATTGACACTTACTCCCTCGGTGTACTTGAGACATGCTTTGAGTGGGCACGGACCGCCACACGAATTTATCGCGCTCTGAAAGTCACGTATCACTTCGGAAATAGCTCCTCCGAAGGCCCGTATCACTCGGAGAACACCTCCTCCGACGGCCCGTATCACTCGGAGAACAGCTCCCCCGAAGGCCGGTATCACTTGGAGAGCAACTCCTCCGAAGACCTGTATCACTTGAGAACAGCTCCTCCGAAGGGCTGCATCACTCGGAGAACTGCTCCTCCAAAGGCCCGTATCACTCGGAGAACAGCTCCTCCAAAGGCCCGCATCACTCGGAGAACAGCTCCCCCAAAGGCCGTATCACTGAGAACAGCTCCTCCGAAGCCGTATCACTCGGAGAACAGCTCCTCCGAAGGCCCGTATCACTCGGAGAACAGCTCCTCCAAAGGCCCGCATCACTCGGAGAACAGCTCCCCCAAAGGCCTGTATCACTTGAGAACAGCTCCTCCGAAGACCCGTATCACTCGGAGAACAGCTCCTCCGAAGGCCCGTATCACTCGGAGAACAGCTCTTCCGAACGCCCGTATCATTCGGAGAACAGCTCCTCCGGAGATCTGTATCGACCACTTCGGGTCCGCGCCTGTTTGCAGGCACAGCAGGCCGTAATGCTTCCCAAGCACGGCAATGCCGCCGGCAGCCACACAGGTGTGCCCACGATCAGCGCCCCAAGCACGTACACAACGGCGGGAGCAAGACAAAGCCACCGGCAGGACGCCCGGGACCTACCCAGAACCAAGACGTGCGCGGTGGACGGAACAGGAGCACAGAGTCCGCGGAGTCCGGCGTTCGCTGGACTTCGCAGCCGTCGGAGGGAGAGGGCCAGTCGCCCCCAGGGTCACCGGCAGCGTCCTGAAAGAGGCGAATCGGGTCACGCCCGGTTCGGCATCGAAAGCAGGTGAATCGGTGAGAGACTGCAGAGTGTTGGACCCGTGGGAGGACGCAGGGAGATGTGTGATGGGGCTTCATCAGGTCACACGGTCATAAGGTCGTCATGAGGCCAGTCCAACAGCGCCGATAGACAAGTCAGTGAGACATTACAGAGAGACGGACCAATCAGTCACTACGGAGACAAGTCGGAGAGTCGTCTGAAAGGGGGAAGGCCTCGTCAAAATGAAGGCCGCAGACATATGCATTAGTGGAGCATCGCGGAACAATGCAGCCATGCTCATTCACAGTTACAGATCAGTCGAACATCAAAGGGAACGTTTTCGGTGCGTGATCAAGATGCAAGCCAGCTGGACATGGCAGATGGACTGGTGGGCGTGTCATCATCAACAAAAGGTGCACTGCTGGACGTGACCCCCCCTAGTACCACCGGCCAGTTAATTCACACCATCCCACATTTTACTCAGCCCCAGGCTGCGGGGGACATGGCACTTTCAACATGGCTGCACCGTTCGCAAAGCGCAATAAACTGACATTGCCACTGTCAAAACATGTGCTTTGCTCGTCAGAGGGGCGGGACGAGCGGC